AAAAGAAAGTTTTCCAACCAGTGGTTATCAAATCCCATTCGAATTATTACTACATATCAATTACCTAAGTTTAGCTATACATGGATTTGGGAAAAACAAAATATAAATAAGAATAATAAATAATAATTTGCATTATAATAAAACTGAAGTCGATCAAAATGAAAACCTGTAAATATGCCAATTGGCCTTTGGGCAGATCCTCCACAGATGTTGGCAGGATTCTGGTCTTTAGTGTCAATTTGATCGTACAGTACAATAGAAATTACAGAAGAGCGGAAATGGGAATAAGGAAAGGTAAAGAGAAATGAATACAAATAAAACTGGAAAGTAATTGCTCCGGAAAGTAAATTCGGCAGCACTTCGTGGTATGAATGCAGCTCCCCTCTGAAGTCCTCTGCTTCCCTTTTTATAGAAGTGGAATCCCAACGGTTATCTCTGAGGATGATGGACCTTGAGGCAGATAATTTAGGGAGTAGTGGTCCACTCTGTGGGAATTGGAACTGCTCTTTTGACGTGTAATCTGAGTGGGGCGTTTTTGCCTGCATGACGGTCGTCACAAGGTGTGACGGTCGTCACCCGTGTGACGGTCGTCATGAAGCTGTGACGGTCGTCACATCAGCAAAAACAGCTTGCTGCGCTTTTCATTGTATTTTCACTCCTTTTTCGTCCATATTTCATCTGAGATTGCTTCTTTTCTTCATGTTGCCTTGTTTAGACGTGATCGTTGAATACCTGCAAAACATCAGACAAATACACGGAAATAACCCGAAATCGGATCGAAAACGGTTAGATTTTAGTTGAATTATGCATGAAAATATCTATATGATTTCGTGTTATCAAAGGTAAACAAGCACAATTCAAATTCCTTTCATGGCTTATTTTAGTATTAGTCTATTTTCAAGTACTGTTTAGCCACTGCTAGTTAAACACCAGTATTAGTATATTTTATTTTTTATAAACAAGTGCGGCGCATACTCATAATCTTTACCTACATGCCACATGAAGCAAACAATCCATAATGGGTTTTCTTCTGTGTTTACAGTTGCCTTCATTGGAGGTGCTCTTTTTGTACTTCAGCAGTTTGCAGGCATAAATGAAGTTCTTTATTTTTCATCATTGACCTTTCATGACGTCAGAATTCAAAGTAGTGCTTTAGCAAGCTTGTTTGTTGGGCTTACAAACTTTGCAGGTTTGCAGTATTCATTGCATTTAATTATCTCAATATAAGTTTCATCTTGAACTCAGATCCTGATTGCTGTGAACTGATTCTTTTCTTTAGGTGCCCTTTGTGCTTTATACTTAATCGATAGGGAAGGGAGGCAAAAACTTATTATAGGAAGCTACTTAGGAATGGTGAGTGCGTACAAGATGCCCGCAGCTTGTTTCTCGGTATATGTAAACAACAGTATCATGCATGCGCAGGCACATGCTGAATTTGTTTAGATCTTTTTCCTTAGTAACTCTGATTTTCATTTCTGCTTCTTTGTTTAATTTGATTGATTATTTCAGGTTTTTATAGATCGGCGTCTGGTTTTATGAACTTGTTGGGATCACTAAAAATTGTGGGCAAGTACTATCCAGGACGGCTATGCAAGGCGTTTGTGATTGAAGAAGGTAGTTCTCCTGGAGTTGAAGAAGATAGTTTGCAAGGAGTGAATCAAGGTATGCTTGAGTGCTTTTTAAGTGTAGGGGTGTTTCGTAAGTATGCTTGAGTGAAATCTTATGCTTGTTTGAATTACTGTCAAATATCTTGTGCTCTCTGCTATCATTATTTTCTTTTGCTTATCACATGACTTAAGAATATATAGACATATTTTAAGTAATAGTTTTTACCTTATTTCAAATATCTTGTACTTATTGAACAATTTTTGTTTGTCAATTATACTTGGAAAGAAAAGAAAACCAAATGCTAATGGTCCTAGGAAATCGTCTCCTGCATGGGACCACTTTATTAAATTACCTAATGAAACTGAACCAGTAGCTGCTTGTAAACACTGTCATAAAAAGTATTTGTGTGATCCAAAATCCCATGGGACATCTAACATGCTTGCTCACACAAAAATATGCACCAAGAGGCCACAAAATGATCCTACTCAAACTGTCCTTTCCTTTGCTAGTGGAGAGGGTGGTGGCTTGGTTGCCGCAAGCCAACGATTTAATCTGGCAGCTTGTAGAAAGGCTATTGCTCTATTCGTGATCTTAGATGAACATTCTTTTAGAGTAGTTGAAGGGGAGGGATTTAAGTTGCTATGCAAAAAATTACAACCCCAATTAACTATTCCATCGAGGAGGACTGTGGCGAGGGACTGTTTTCAACTTTTTGTTGATGAAAAAGTAAGATTGAAAGGTTATTTCAAATCTGATTGCAATAGGGTAGCCTTAACCACTAATTGTTGGACATCCATTTAGAATCTTAGCTACATGACCCTAACTGCACACTTTATTAACAATGATTGGAAGTATGAAAATAGAATTCTAAGTTTTTGTTTAGTTCCTAATCATAAGGGTGAGACAATTGGTAGGCAAGTTGAAGAGATATTAAGGGAGTGGGGAATAAGGAATGTGTCCACAATCACAGTGGACAATGCAACATCTAATGATGTAGTTGTTGCTTATTTGAAGAAGAGGATTAATAATATGGGTGGTTTAATGAGTGATGGGTCTTTCTTTCATCTTCGTTGTTGTGCACACATTCTAAATCTGGTGGTTCGTGATGGTTTAAAACAAAATGAATTATCTATTTGTGCCATTAGAAATGCTGTTAGATTTGTGAGATCATCACCCCAAAGATCATCAAAGTTCAAAGAATGTATTGAGTTTGCTAGAATTAATTGTAAGAAACTTTTATGTCTTGATGTTCCAACAAGGTGGAACTCATGTTATTTGATGTTAGATGCTGCTGAAAAGTATCAAGCAGCATTTGAGAAAATGGAAGGTGAAGATTTTAGCTATTTGGAATTTTTTGGGTTAGTTGGTCCCCCTACTCTTAATGATTGGGATAATGTTAGGTGTCTTGTAAGTTTTTTCAAAATTTTCTATGAAGCTACTATGGAGTTTTCTTCGTCAAAACAAGTGTCCCTTCATAAGGCATTCCACCAACTAGCTTCAATCCACTGTGAGCTAAAAAATCATCCATGAACTTGAACACAATTTTAGCCTCAATGGGATATGAAATGAAGCATAAGTATGACAAATATTGGGGAGAAATTGAAAATATCAACAAGTTTATTTACTTTGGTGTGATTTTTGACCCTCGGTACAAGTTAGGATATGTGGAGTGGTGTTTTAATGATATGTATAATGATGAGTCTGTGCCTTTTACTAATCTGATTGATGTGATAAAAAAAGAGTTGTTTAAACTATTCAATTGGTACAAGGGTATACATGACCAACAACATGGTACTAGTCCTATTGAGGGTAGTTCATCTGGTGACGGTGTTGTTCCTACTACTGAAATTCCATCTCATAATGCAAGAGTTGAAGCTTTTAAGGAGCACCTAAAACAAAAAGATTCAATAGATAAAAAAAATGATCTTGAGAGGTACCTAGATGACAATTGTGCTGATGATGTTAACTTTGACATCCTTGTGTGGTGGAAACAAAACTCTTGTAGATACCCTGTTTTAGCAAAAATGGTGAAAGATGTTTTAGCTAGTCCTGTGTCAACTGTCGCTTCTGAAAGCACGTTTAGTACTGGGGGCAGAGTTCTAGACACATATAGAAGCTCGTTAAGCCCTGAAATGGTAGAGGCTTTGATTTGTGCACAAAACTGGTTAAAACCTACACTTAGTCAATTCAAGGATCTGAATATAAATGAAGATTTTGAGGTGTCTTTCACTACTGTATCAGGTATATAAAGTTGTGTATTTAGTCTACTAATATATTAGGTTTGATTTTAATTTAATTGTTTGGTTTTTATTTACTGTTTTGTAGAATTTGGTGGTTCATCTGTTAGTGGATCAACATCTGGTTGTGATTCTAATGTTGTTGGAAGAGGAAAAGAACCAGTTGCTGGTTCATCTCAAACACATACTTAATGCTGGCAGTGGTTTGTGCATTAATACTGCTTTACTTATATTTATGTTTATGAAATGTATTAATATATTTTTTGTTTCATTTCAGTTTGTTTTTTGGAGTCATTTGTATATATAGATCAGCAATGACTCACTATTTTGGTGCTGCTGTATCGTGCAACTTGTTTTGGTAGTCCTGTTTCGTTCTCGTGGCATCTGCAGCAGCAAAATGTAGTTGTTTTTTGGTGGTCCTGTTTCTTTTTGGTGGCATCTGCTGTTTCATCCTGTTTATGCTGTTAAGTTTATGCTGTCATTGCTGTTTATTCCTAGGTGAGTGTATTTTGCTGTTTATGTCATTGCTGTTTATGCTGTTAAGTTAATGTTCTTCAGTTTATGCTGTTTATGTCATTCCTGTTATGGAGGACAAGTGATACAAATGATCTATGGTGGACTAAGTGTGAATGTTGGATGTTGAAGCTATTTGATCTATTTATGACATTTTTGCGAATATATGGTTCTATAATATATGGTTAAGCTAATGAATATATGTTCAATAATTTAATATTTTGTTTGAAGTAATATACCTATTCGATACTTGTTGACAGCTCCTGCATTAATTGTAAATTTTAAACATGTGTTCACTGCTTTTTCCAACTTCTTTTTAGTATTGATTTTTAAGTTTTGCTTAAGACCTGTGAATGAATGGTGGCATCTGTGCCTAAGCAACTTGTTTAGTGCTAAAAGTTGTTTGGAGCTAGACTAACCTTTTGTATTCATGAGTGCAGTGATTTTCAATTGTTTTTGGAGCTAAACTCACAGTTTCTGTCAACCATGGTGAGATGGATGAATACAATGCAACAGGAATGATTTTATGTGGGATTCCTCTTGATGAACCATTTCTTCAGCATTATCTATCTAGACTAGTAAAAGCTGAAAAAAAACAAGCTCAAAGGAGGGAAATTATATTTAGAAGATTGTTTCTATGTGATGGGAACTGTTGATCCGACAGAAAACCATTGCCTGAAAGAGAATCAAGTTTGTATTATTCAGTAAGCATGAATATCCTATCCAGACTCCTCTCTTCCACCTGTCCCTATTCTGTTATTCTCCTTCTTCTCATTCCCTCCATGTGTGCCCTTTCAATCATATTCAACCATGTGTACTAGTTAGTTTTTATTATGAAAATGATGTTTGAAATTCAAACTATCAGGCTTGTGTTGAGAGTTGACAGGTTAAACCTTTTTTCTTGGTAGTGAAAATGGTCAAATTACTGGAGATGTGCTGGTTTATCGAAATCCAGGTTTACATTTTGGGGACATTCACATAATGCAGGCCACACATGTGGAGGGGCTCGAATCTTATGTTGGCCATGGAAAATATGCAATTTTTTTCCCATGTGTTGGACCTCGCTCTGTAGCAGATGAGATAGCTGGAGGTGATTTTGATGGTGACATGTACTGGGTGTCAAAAAATCCTCAGGTTTCAATTTCAATTTTAAAGCCTTTGTTGTGTTTTTACTTGATCTATTTTTAATATTGAAAGAACTGTGCTTTTTGTGTTATACTATCATATCTTTTTGTTTGCTAGGGTAAGAATAAGATTTGAACCTCTAGCATTTAGTCAGTGCTCATAAGAAAGTTTCTTTACAGACTTTATCTGGTTAAAGATTATTTTAGAGCAAGTCACAATGTGGATTGAAATTCAGTTGCTTCTCATTATGCAGGTAGTCAGGCATATCTCATTTTATTGTGGTATATATATCTTGAGAAGCAGGTATATATATCTTGAGAAGCAGAAGAGTAGCAGAAGCAGTTACAAATTTTGAGGCTGCTATAAAATGCAATGGAAGCAATTACAAATTTTGAGGCAGGTTAGGGTGCTAATTTGGTTAGATGTTCCCTTACAACCCTTGTTTTAATATTCTAAGACTTTTTGAACTGTGAGTTTGTTTACAAATCTAGCTTGTCCTTAGCATATGAAGCTGATTTAAGTTTTTTCCTGCAAAGATCGTATCAGAATTCTCGCCTTCCCCTCCTCCTTTCCATTTTTTAAACTGTTGGGTGCTAAACATTACAGCAGTTTTCCTTATGCATGTATTAGTCACTTTAAGTTATCCCCAAAGCAATTGATTTGTGTCCAGTTAAAGGAAGATCACAAAATTTTCTATAATTTTTCTCAAGAATATTATGTTCAAGCATAACTCAAACCGGTTCATATATCTTCTGTTCTTCTGTCTTCCTTTGTTCAGAGAGCAGACAGTTGTTGTCCTTGTATCCATGGGTGCAGATTGTGGTGCATTGACAGATCCATCTCTAGAGTTTCCTTCAGGTAGAACAGCTGCAGATCTCGCCTCTAGCAATGGGCACAAAGGACTCTCTGGTTTTCTAGCGGAGTCTTCATTAACAAGCCACCTTGAAACCCTCACAGTGGATGATCAACAAAAAGGTGGTAAGCAAGAAGTTACAGGAATGAAAACAGTACAGACAGTTTTGGAGCGAACTGCAACACCTGTGGTCTATAATGATATGCCTGATGCCCTATTGAAAGCTTAAAACCTGTTATGTTATTGGATCAATTAAATGCTAGCTGGTGATAATGTGTTATTTAATTTGGAACGTAATATGTGAATTTAGAAACTAATCTAAGTATGGTGTTAGTTGTGTTGAATGTTGAAATGTGAATTGGCTATTAAGTTTGGATTGGTGAAATCTATTACTGTGTCTGCATATAAAGGGTAAACTGTTATCACTATGAATTAACTTTTAGTTTAAAACCTATTAGGAATTAGTGCTACATGTTGAATGTTAGTTGGGCTTGATTGTTAAACAACATTGGGTTATTTTGTGTGAAAACTAGCTTATGCGAAAACAGGTTAGAGTTAGTTTTGGATGAAAAGATACTGTGATGCACATTATATATATGACAGAATTTCATGTTAGAATTTATTGGTTCAAACCGATTCAACCCAACCGAATAAACCGGTTAAACCGATAATCCGCCAACCGATAAAACCGAACTTAATCTTGGGTGGAATTGGGTTCAACTTTTTCAACCGTGGATTAATTCGGGTTAATTATTTTGAATCCGAACCCACCCATAACCGACCGCCGTCCACCCCTACCACAAACCATGGGCATAGCATTGGGGCAGATCGTGACGGATTTAAGCAGGTACCTGCAATCGTCTTTTTAAAATAGATTTATTCCGTACCTGCATTCAATTGAGGATAAAAAATTACTAGTCAAACCCACCTTTAATGGGAAATGAATTTTCCGTCCCATTCGCAAAATTATTATTTTTTAAATAGATATTTTTTTATAACAATACAAATTAATAATTTAATTAAATAATTAATTATTTCTAGCAAAATTATTTTTAAAAATTAAAATAATTCTAATAAATATATAATAATAATAATAATTAAAATGAAACATAAAAATAAATTAAAATAAACAAGACGGAGGTGAAGCCGCGTGCGGGACGAGTAGTAGCATCTCCGCTCCCGTCTCCACACCCGTAATAAAAAAATTAAATTTTACCTGCATTCGCATCCAATTAAATCGAAATTTCTCTATTAATTTCGAGACAGGTTTGGATAAGTTCGGACGGATCTACGTTACTTTGCCCAGTCTACACATCATTGTTATTGGTAAGAATCTTCTTGCTACGCTGGGTATTTTTTGTATAGGTGATGACCACTTAACTTTAGTTTTTCCTGATATTGATGTTAAATTTTTGTCAAAATACTTGTAATAAGTTGTGTGTTGAGTATCCATTTGGAATCTTTGACAAAAATAAAATGGAAGTTTTCACGTGGGAGCAATGGTAACAAATAACAATGACAAGGAAGTGCAAATATTGCTCTTTGTTGTCATGGAAAGAAATTGAGCACTTGAGATCAAGTTATGACCTAAAAATAGCATTGTGTGGAAGGAAACTCATAATGTTTAAATTTCTTTGTTTGTTTTGTGGGTAAATAATAATAAAAAATAATAATAATAAGTATGAGAAGTTTGACATGGAACTTGTCTAGTTCGACAAATCAAAGTATTATTTAAACCCTTTTCAAACAAATTTTTAGAAAGAACCGGATAGTTTTTGAATTGGATTTCAAATGTGTTTTCAGTTCATTTTTAATTGATAGGTTTTTATAGAAAAATGGATTTATAATATATTTTTTTAAGATGTTTTTGAAAGGAAGGTGTTATTATTTCGTTTGACTGTGCTATTTATTTTTTTAATTGTTTTATATTTTATTTTTTACGAGTAGTGTTTTTATGTTTTGATTTATCTTTGTAGAGAAAATAAGTGTGAATTGTGTGGAGAAAAAATTGTGAGTTTTGAGTCTCACATTAATTAGAAAAGTGGAGGTTAAACACTTTATAAGTAAAAAGATTTATACATATATCACCTTAAGATTTTGGGTAAATATGTGGTGTCTCTCTCACTTGTTTGGATGAGTCTTTGACCTTTAAGTGAGTGTTTGACCCAATATGAATGCTTCCCCCTTGTGATGATCTAGTCGAAGAAATCTTTGCATAGAAGACGCTATGATCTAAGACTTATAAAGATTTTTGCCAAGATTGGAGCTCGACGACGTCCATTGGAAGAAGCGTTTCAACAAATGGAGTTTAAATGAGGATGATAACTATCTTTTGACCTTATTTATTTCTTAGGACACGTGGAGGATTTTGAGGCGACAAAATGCATACGGTGTGGAACGTGACGCATTATGCCGAAATAACCGTTAGATGACGCTTATTTTTTATTTAGTATAAATAGAGCACGTAACATTTAGAATAAGGGTGTTCAACAATTATACAAAACTCTACATTTTACTCCTAGTACCTGCACATGAGAAAAGAGTGATTTTGAGAGAATGTACGTTTGAATACCTATCTTTACAATAAAATGCATTTAAATTTCAGTCATTTACCTTTACTTGCAATTTACTTGTCTTTTCTCTTAAAGCAATTTATCTTTCTGCAATCTACATTTCTTTTCTTACTTAAAAGAAATCACAACATTCTCTTAACAACTTTGGAGAATATTTGAAGAACATTGTATAAGATCATTAAAACCAAGAACTATATAACAACACATGTCCCTGTAAGTGACCAAAGACTTAGTAGCTTTGGAGGACTAGCGGTTGTTTTCCATTTTCGATGGTAAACAGGTGGTCATGCGGCGTATCGCATTGAAGTGCACATGATGAGATAAGGGTGTCTCTCAATGTCAGTACAAGCATGTGGATGAAAGAGCTTCCACTTAAGGGGGAGCAGAGTAGATGGACTCACACTTGAGAGGAAGATTGTTGAGAAACAAGTGTGAGTTCTAAGTCTCACATTACTTAGAAAAGTGGAGGTTAATCACTTTATAAGTAAGAAGACTCACACACCTATCACCTTAAGGTTTTGGGTGAATATGTGGTGTCTCTCTCACTTGTTTGTCCAAGTCTTTGATCTTTAGATGAGTGTTTGATCCAATGTGAATGTTTCCCCCTCATGATGACCCATCAGCTTTTTTCCAACAAAAACTCATAAAATTATACTTCAACTTGTAATTTTTACAAGGACAAAATTACAAACTGTCCCATACAATTGCAAAATTTAAGGAGAAAATTGCAAACCCTTCAAATTATAATTTTTAAACGGAAAGATTGTAAACTTTCTCTCAATTATAATTTTTGGACAGGAAAATTGCAAACCCTTTCTCAATTGCAATTTTTGGACGGAAAAATTGCAAACCCTCTCAACAAACTATTTTTGAATGGAAAAATAGGAAATCTTCTCTAAACACACAACTATCCAAATCCTCAAAATACTCAAAAGACTATATTTTGCTTCTTCACACATCAATTTCGTGAATTAATGAATTTAGATGTATGAAGGATGATCAAATAGAAAATGAAAGTTGTGGATCTTGAATCCATTTTAAAGGAGCAAAAAAGAACAAAGAGTGTACTTTTTGTGTATTTTGCTTCAACGATGTAGAAACTTTGGACCATGTTATGATATCTTGTCCTAAGATTTCTTTGATTTGGAGACCGGTCTCGATTTGGTAGGTGTTCCTTGGTGCGAAAGAGATAACTATTGGGAACATTTGATGGAATGATTTATTAAGTTGGTTCATCGAACGTCGAAAAAATTCGCGTCTTTCATTTGGTTTTGTACTTGTATTTGGTGGGTTAGAAACTAAATTATTTTCAACAATGATGTACATTGTGTCGAAGATTTAGTCCATAAAATAATGTATACTTCGTGGTGTTGAGTTTCGATGGGTGCGGTCAATAGAATTCCTTGTACTTTCTATGAATGGTCTAAACTTTCTACTGATTTTTTGTAATGTTTTATTGGTTTGGTAGGGTTGTAAATTTATGTAAATCAAGCTTCTGTATTATATCTGTTGGAGTTTGGTTTGCTACTTGCATTCCTTTTGAATAGAAAGAATTTGCTTATTAAAAAAAAACAAAGAGTGTACTTTAGCTATAAAAAGAGTAACTTGAATTAGTAATGTTTTTTTTAATAAAAAACTATATAACAGAAATCAAGTCAACCACCATCACCTTAATTCTTAAGTAAAAATTAAACTCGTAGTAAAAAAAATTGTGTGAAACAAAAAACAATAACATCAAATAATTAAAATAGCTTATAATAAGTGATAGTTACAACAAGCACTTGAAGGTAATAAATAAGAACATAAATAAACTTGTTTATTCAATTCGATCAAATTGATTTACTTTAAAGGAGAGAGAAATTCTTTTATTCACTATACTTTCATGAATTTTTACAAGCTTTCGAAAATAGTCTTAACCCTTATACAATATTTGAGATAGATAATCGTGAAGATAAATATTAGAAGACTAAAAGTGGGTTTGTAAAATTAAAATGAAAATACATATATTTTTATAAATTTTAATCAAATATTCACTAAACCACAAATTTATTTACGAACTTATAATGCATTTAAAATGTAGTAGAGCATAATGAAGATTTTATTATATATTTGAAAGTTTTAGGACGAGATGAGACAAATTCTTCATTTCGCCTAAATGTGAGGGGAATAAATATGATGATAAGTGTTGGAATGAAATGGAGTTCATATCACTTTATTTCACTTTACTCCATTTGATTTTAAATCATTCAAACAATAAACTAGCCCTTCATTCCATCTCATACCGCTTTCCTCCATCTGATTTCATCGATTCAAACAAAACATTCATCTTTCTTCTCATCCTTTCCTAAAAAACTTTCATTTTTTAGAATTTTCTCTCTACACCAAAAAATATCAATCAAACATTTATTTAACATGTCCTATTAAATTGTTGATTCTTTAAAGATAAATTGTTTAATTGATATTTAATTATATTTGACAATGTAACCCTTGCTACCAATTTGTGCTCTAATGAGAAGGGCCGAAATGACCAAAATTTCACAAAACCAGATACTTTTTGTGAAATAAAATAATTTTAGTGAATTACTTCTCCCACCCTTAGGGGTGCTCAAACACCCTTGTGAAAAACCAAAATTGTCCATGGAATTCAGAAATGCATTTTCGGACGCACACCATTTCACACGACATCCATTCGTAAGTGATCCACACCTTCAGTTTTGCCAAAAACTAGTACGAAAATGCATATTTATAACAACTTCCAGAAATATACCTTAAGATGAGATTTTAATCAAATATAAGTCAGACATTCCCCTTCCTCATTTCCACCAAAATACACCAAAAATCTTCTCACTTTCATTCCTCACTTCCAAAACTTGTTGTCAATCCAAGTTACATTGCTGCTCCATTCAATTCAAGTGGTTGTCAATTTCTACTCTGAACATTCAATCAATCGAAGTGCTCAACATCAACTACATATTTGGTAATTTTTCAATCCAAGTCTTTTCACATATGATTTTCTATACATTCATTAAGAAATAGGAACATTAGGTTGTGTAATCCACATTACTATATAGGTAGTTATAGTCATTGTTAGGTAGTGTAATTGAGGAATTCGTTTTTTCCCTTTTTGGTTTCCTTGCGTTTTTGCCATTTTCGTGTTTACTGAGTTTCAGGTAACTATGGAAATGCACTTCCGTATTTATTCATAATTTGATTTTCAAAGAACACGGAAGTGCATTTTCATAATATGTTTGTCTGCATTGTTTGGTTTGATTTTAAATGTCTCTCATCTAGTTTTGATTTTTTTTGCTTTGTCAGGTTTGTCTAATTTAATTACAGGTAACATGGTTGACAATCGAGAACGACTAAGGTATGGTAGAGTGTCTAAACATGCATTTGTTCATAGGGAAAGAGCCAGACTCTTGCGACCATCGGTCGGTGCCAGCTCATTTGATGCAGAAGCGTCAAATTCTTGGGTTCAAACGTCTCTAGTTTCGTCTTTCGAGAGGTATACAATATTAGAATTTTCTGACGATTATGTACTTATTGCAGTACCGTGATGTTTTAAAATGCATCAACCATGGTCAGAAGATTGCGATGCTGCAACAGCCCGATGAGCAGTTGTTTCATGATGACATGCAGCTATCTAAGTTGCAATATTTATGCATGATCGATTATAATACTACTAAGCATGGTATACTATCAACGTCCATTGAGATATGACACTCTGAGACGTCATCTTTTTATTTTTCGCATGGTGAGATGTCCATCACACTGAATGATGTGTCATCCCATTTACATATTCCGATTAATAGAAGATTATTAGAGCATTCTAAGATGACCAGACTTAAAGAATTGAACATGACGGCTACCTATTTGGGATCTGACCCAATATATGTTCTAAAGTAGCTGGAAGATACAAAAGGGGCTCATGCTAGATTTCCATTCTTGGAGAACATGTAAACACATCTCCTGGCTATGATAATGTATGTCATTGGTGAGGATGCACATGTTATTCATCATAAAGCATATGCATTGAGGTCATACCTCATGTACTTGGTTGACACATCCATCTTTGTGGACAAAAATTCTTATTACATTGATGTGGTTTATCTTATATACTTCATTGACTTTGAACATATTAATGAGTACAATTGGGGACCACTTGTTTGGCTTACATGTACTCGAAGTTAGTGAAGGTTGTATTTGGAAGACCAGATGGATGAAAATTAGTTGCACATTATTTATGGTAATATATTTTCACTTTTACTGTTACCATACCATTTTCATAACACTTGTGCTATGCCATTACTAATATTTCATATATACCAATTTTTTTGGCATGGATTCTCCAACACTTTCCACGCATCTCTTCTCTAGACATATGTTGATGAATACACTAAGGACCAGCCATGTGCTTATACATTCGTCATGCTCAGGGGGAATCATTCGACAGAGCCTTTTAGAGTGTTTCTTGACCGCACTGCAGTAGATGATATACGCTTTCGATCGTACGAAGATTCTCGTCACACATCCATTAGATGACATGACCTTTTAATCTTGATGCTTGGCTTGTGGGATATGTCTGATGTATCCACATTCGCCTGACCGAATCATGCACCATTTCAAGTTTATACATGTTATCCCACTAGAGCCTTTCATGTATGCTTTTCTAGCTATGGTACGTAGAGGTGTATATGTGATTTATGATGATTTCTATAATTACCTGGTACTAAATGAAGCAAAAAGTATGGTAGCTCCTCGCAAATTGTGTAGTGCATTCGGCTACATCCAGTGGTATTTCAAAGTGTCACATCCTTACATAACACCAGATGCTCACGGAGATCCACCTAGGCCAACTTATCATGAGATAATAAAGGAGAAACAAACTAGGGTAGATCATGTTGTTGATGTGTTTCAAGTATGTTGTCGTATTACAGATCTTGCGCGAGCGAGATAGATAGAAGAGACTTTCTAAAAGGTACTTTTGGGAGGGCCATTATAGATGTCATTCTATCTAAGGCACAAAAGACATTGCAGTACAGGAAGCAACATAGAAACAAAAAGTTTGATATACCCAATAGTATTTTATAGTATTTGTATTATGGATGACATAGTATTATGTTTTGCAACTTGTTATTTTGATAGTATTATGGATTATAGATTCATTTTAGGTATAATTAGTCACCAAGTCCTTTAACTTAATTTAATGTTCCACTTTAGTCCTTTAACTAAAAAAATGTTACAAGTTAATTTCTTAACTTCACATTTTAGTTACCCTATTTGGTCCATTATGTCAATTTCTGACAAAAAAACATTAATTTTTGGTGACGTGGCGTGACAGTAAGTGCATTGGTACAAATATGAGCCAACATATGTAGTTAAAATCTGATACATTATTTAAATTGCGGGGGTTAAAAATCTTTGAAAACAAAATTCCTGCCGTTTAAATAGTGTATCAGTTTTTAATTACATATGTTAATTCAGATTTGTACCAATAACTTTGTTGTCACGCCACGTCACCAATAATTAACGTTTTTTTATTTATAAATTAATAGGAATTACTAAACAGGATAACAAAAGTGAAGTTATGAGATTAATTTAAAACATTTTTTTTAATTAAAGGATTAAAACACAATATTAAATTAAATTAATGGACTAAAATATATATTAAGAATTTATTTTAATATATGATATTATCATCTTATTACATACTTCAATTGATAACCTATTACATTAATATATATTTTATAAAATATCAAAATATTATGAATATGTATATCCGTATTTTATTATGGAAAAACACATCTTCAATTTAATTATCTAAGAAAATGAGTTGATTGATATAAATATGTTTGAAAATATAACTTTCTTAATAAAAGATAATTTTATATTTACATTGGATAATTTCTCACCATTAAAAACGAGAGAATTAATTCTTAAATTTTAAATAAAATTATTTTGTACCGTCAATCAATCTTCTTTTTACACCGTTAAATTAAATTCTAAATTTTAAATTAATTATATAATATAATTTATTAATATATTTTTATTAAATAACACTATAACATGATGGGTATATAACAATTAATCTCTTTTAAAGATATATTTGATACACCTAACAAATTCCCGGACAAATTTAATGATTTATTACTCTTTTATTGAAATTCGAAAAAAAAAAAATTTAAAATTGAACCAGTTGCGTGTAACTAGGAAGAAAAAAAAAACGGTGCTATTTCATGTTGAAACTTCATGCTGGAACGCAATTGATTTTATGGTCTCTTTCACTCTCTGATTGACCTAATTTTTGAACTCTGTTTCAATTACGATCGATGCATGTATAAATTTTTCGACGAAGGTAGCTTTTTGCTCTTATTCTCATTAATTCCCATTTTCTTCTTATGATTATAGTTTTTTAATTTTCAATTATTTTTAATTGTAGTACATTGTAATTGACCTAGCTTGTTAAATAAGTACTTCTCAAGATAAGCGCTTCTGTAATAAGCCGAAAATAAGTTGTTTATCCATAGGATCAAAGCTTAAAAAGAGCTTATAACTGCATATGGATCGGCTCAATGGTTCTGCCAATCTAATGATAGTTTCAGATCTTGATTACACAATGGTAAATATAATTTCGATATGAATCTGTCTTTGGATGATTCTTGGGATTAAATGTGGTGGTGAAGTCTGTGTGTTTCATTGCAGGTAGACCATGATGATCCAGAAAACCTTGCTCTTCTTAGGTTTAATGCATTATGGGAAGGTTATTATCGGCATAATTCTCTACTAGTTTTCTCCACGGGGAGATCGCCTACTATATACGGAGAGTTGAGAAAGCAGAAACCTTTGTTGACTCCCGATATAACGATAATGTCTGTGGGAACTGAGATTACATACGGGGAATCTATGGTGCTCGATGAAGGGTGGAAACGGTATTTGGATCATAAATGGAACAGGGACATTGTTGTCGAGGAATCAGCCAAGTTTCCTGAGCTTGTTAGTCAAGTAAGTATATCTATCATAGTATATCATGTAATAGATGCTTATCAATTATTAGAAGGGTGAGCCTTAAAGCACAACGATAAAGTTGTTGCCTTGTAGACCTGGAGGTCGTCAATTCAGATCCTAGAATCGGCCTCTCCGCTTGCGAGGATAGTGTTGTGCCCATCTACCCTCGCCATACCCCACACGGTGAAAGTCTCATGCACTAGGCTGCTCTTTATCAAACAACAACAATCAAGCCTTATCCCACTAAGTGGGGTCGGCTACATGGATCAACTTCCACCATAATGTTCTATTCAGGACCATGATTTTATCCAAATTTGGCTGCTCTTTATCGTTTATCAAAATTCTAATACGTCATCATGATAGGAAGAATGACCTTAAATTTAATGTAATGCAGTATTAACTAATGTAACTAGTTTAAGAGGATTTATATTTACTTATCAATATGTTATCTTTGAAATTTCTGGAGTAACTGCAGTCAGAAACAGAGCAACGACCTCACAAAGTTAGCTTCTATTTGGAGAAAGGGAAGGCATCAGAAGTCATGCAAGCTCTCTCAAAAGATTTAGAAAAACGTGGGGTGAGACTTTTATCATTATCTATAAAAACACAGGGTAAGATTGTAGTTCATAAACAACCTTAGTGGCGCAAATTTGTCTACTTCGCTTAAAAGCTTAATCTAATATATTTTTTAAATGCTACAGTTTCATTATATTTCTTTATGATTTTGTGACTTATGATATACTACTCGTTTATTTTCCAGTTAGATGTGAAAATAATTTATAGCAATGGTGTTGCTTTGGATATATTACCTCAAGCTGCTGGCAAAGGACGGGCCCTTGCTTTTCTGCTTGAGAAATTAAAAGCCAATGGACTAGGACCACTCAACACTCTTGTTTGTGGTGATTCTGGAAATGACGCTGAACTGTTTGGTGTACCTGATGTATATGGTGTCATGGTTTGTAACATTATAAGAATTACTGAATTCTCCATATACATGTCCACAGTTTTCGGCCGTGTTTTTTTCATTATGATTGTACGATGAAAAATATTTGCTCACCTCCCAAATTTGCAGGTCAGTAATGCGCAAGAAGAATTGGTTGAATGGTATGCAGAAAATGCAAAGGACAATGCACAAATAATTCATGCCACGGAGAGATGTGCAGCTGGTATTGTGCAAGCTATTGGTAACTTCACTCTTGGTCCAAATGTTCCTCCAAGAGATATTAGAGACTCATTGTTAAACATGAAAATTCTTAGTCCTGGTCATGAAGTAGTGATGTTCTACCTATTTTATGAGAGATGGATGCGTGGAGAAATTGAGAATTCTGAGCAGTATATACAAAATCTAAAATCAATATTTGTAAGTATTGTACAACTTCACAGTTTTAAGTGCGGTCGCAAAATTGATCACAAATCCATTTCTAAGCCTGGCCAGAGCTGAATCTCTTGCATGCCTGAATGCTTATTGCTGACTTTTAGATGACCAACTATTTTCTATCTGATTATATGATACTTTTATGAGAAGAGATGTCTTTTTTTTGTTATTTGAAACTAAAGGGCTGTAGATTTTGAAACACTGAAGAGGTAACTAACTGCCAATGTTATTTTCCTCACATTTTTGTTTATCTGTAGCATTCTACTGGAAATTTTGTCCATCCCTCAGGAGTTGACCGACCTATGCAACAAATTATAGATACTTTACCAAAGGTGTTTGGTGAGAAGCAGGGCCTAGGCTTTCGGGTTTGGATTGATCGTGTATCTTTTGCAGAGGTTAGTTTGGGCTCATGGATGGTCAAATTCGACAAGTGGGAGTTATCTGGTACGATTATTTTCTAACTTTATTTTACTTGTGTTAAATATTACTCTCCTCGGTCTTTCTTTTTATAACTTTGCTTCTTCATTTCCTTCATGACTTTTTTCACCATGAGTGGGTTGGGTTTGAAAAAGACCAACTAGTATTTAGTATTAGCAGTGCTTCCTTTCAAAGTATGACTAGTTCTGTGGAGAGTATCAGTGCTCATTCTGCAAAAACTAAAACCGGATGGTGAGTGATTGTTATAAGAGTGATTGCCTGATTTTACCGTTATTATGTTTATAAATTTACTAATTCAACGAAGAATGTTGATTTTCCTTTTGTTTCTTTATTCAACTTTTGCTCATTCACCTTGTACTTTAGGGTTCTTATCTAAGGCTGTTAAGTATTAAACAATTCTCATTCCTTTTATAATTTGATTTTGTGGCTTTTCTTTATATTACTTGCTCTTATTTGACGTATTAATTTCTGTCATCTAAAATCAGGGAATGAGTTAAGGGGTTGTTTAACAAAGGTTTTGATGAATTCAAAGGTGAACATTTGTACTCACTCTTTTCTGCCCATATTTTGATTAATGTCAAATTTATCTAATAATATAGACCAAAAGCATGATTAACCCTATTTTTTAGAAATTCTTTTTAAATGGATCTTTTGATATAAATTTCCAACTACTAGTTTGTTGATTTTTGGCAGGTTGATACACCAAATGAGTTTACATGGATGCACATACATCAGACATGGTTGGATGGCTCAAAAGGAAAGGATGATACACCTTGGTTTATGTAGCTGAATATTAGGGATGGTAATCTGCACTCACACCTTAGAGGTGACCAACATGGGAGGTTCTATATATAGATGGACCCTTATTGGGCCTTTGCATCTGGTGTCTAGGCAGAAGAAAATCAGTTAGTGAGGAATGTATATATTTGGGAGATCAATTAATCTTGTAGAAGTCTAGTAAACATCCATCAAGGTTAAGATTTTCATCAGAAGTCGAGTACAAAGCTATGGCCTCTATTGTATGTGAAATTCAAAATAGTTAATTTATCGCCTTAAACATTTTAACAACCTGCCTTGTTTTATGGCTGACACTCATATATTGCTACAAGTTATTTCTTCAAGAGAACAAAGCATATGGATCAATTTTCGTTAGAGTTCTATCCAAAACCTTATTTTTATCCAAATCATTAATGTCGATACTTTCTTAATAGCTTCTCCTATAATGTATTTAAGTTTTTCTCTTTTTATAGTTGTTTGACTTCTCTTCATCTGATCTAATTTCTTTATTACAGAATTTACATGTTTTATCTTTATATGCTCAAACCATTTAAATCATTTTTTATTTTTTTATTTTCTCTACTATAAATGTTAGCCCTAACAAGGTTTAAAATCTGTTTTGGAATATTTTATAGAAATGAAAACTCTTTCAGGATGAAATGAAACCTTTGAAGATGTAAAGCATTCAAAAAGAAATTTCATACTTGAGGACTAAATAATATAATTTTTTACTGATTTGAATGATCAATTCTACGTGGTTTCATCCATTGATAATGTATTCTCTTCGGTTTCTTAAGAACAAATCATTGTCCCTGCAAACATATTTTATGAGTCAAGATTACTAGATAATGTTTCTTGATACCTAAAAGGCTTATGATCGAGGTGGAAGATCAAATCATGGATGTAATGGTAAGGCTTAACAAACGTATCTAGAAGATTTTGGTGTTTGGAGCAAAGTCAAATGTTAATAACAACATCAAAAAACTTAAAGTCTTTTAAAGCTCGATTGATCATGTATCTTTGTGTATTTTATCAGTATTTGTGTCATTGTGTACTTTATCAGTTTCGAATTTTCACACGTACGCACGCAGACACGCGCATACACACACGCACGCACGCATGCACGCGGTGCGGGCACGCGCGCACACACCTCTAATTGATTTAAACATGTCTCTAACCTATTAGAATATGTGTCTAATTAATTATGAGGAAAACTTATCACTTAATTGATTAGAAATTCTCTTAATCAATTAGACTCTAAACATGATTGTTTTCTTTCCAAACTAACTAGGTCTAATCGATTAGAGAGTTGCTCCGTCTCATTTTTCTTTCTTTTTTTACCAAATTTTCTTTGTTATGTAAAAGAGGTATTGTGTTCATTTCTCAACATAAGAAATATGATATTAAACTCTTCTCACTTACTCGTAGACATTGGAACGTAACCCTTACACACGGGTATCCACCCAAATACATCATGAATTTGACGGGAAAAATCCGCTTTCACTATGTTACCAAAAAAATTATAACTGCCCCAACATTGTCCTTTTAATACTTATGTTTGTCATCATCAAAAAGGGGGACATCATCAAAACAAGATTTGTTCATGACATATATCTCTTAGATTCCGATGATAACAAAGTATTAAAAGACCAATGGTGTTATCTAATATGTGTTCCAAGTATGAGGTTCAAAAGCTTGAAGAGAAGGCATTCAGAATGTGATATAAGGATGCATTTGAGATGGGATGAGTTACTAGCTTCTGGTGGATCAGAACCTAAAGAACACTCTCTAAGTGATGTTTGACATAGACTTTGAAGTTGAAGGCCTCATCATTAAAAGAGTAACATATTGTCTCTATACTAAGTTAATGTATCAGCTTCTGGTGAGCATTCAGATTCAGTAATAGAGCTTGAGTTATCCATATTGTAGAAAACAAGTTGCATTGTCAAACGCTTGTCAGGTAGAGTCTATGTTCACAAGGCTCAAGAAGAGTTGACATGCTTTATAGAAATCTACTTTAAACGGATCTATAGTACAAGAATACATGGAAGACGCAATGGTGAAACATGTTACCCAATGGATTAAGATCTTTTGGTGTATATCTCTTCGATGTCTCTTGTACTATAGAAAAACAAAGAGACTTGCTAAAGTTATCTCTTCCAACGGCTAGTATTCTACACTTGCTGAAGTCTTCAATAAGGAGCAATAAAAAGGGAAAATATAGAAGGAAAGTTGTAGATGTTTTTTGATTGGCTGCATTTTATGGAAAAATATTAATGTATGTGTGAATGTCATAACTGATGTTATGACATACTTGAAGAGTGTTCTTCAGGGAGAGCTAAGAGTAAGTGAAGTTGAATGTCATACTGGATGTTATGACATCAAGCGTATGACATCAGGGCGCGCAGGTTTTAGTTTTCTATTATTAGCTCAGGTTATACTTCAGGAAACATTCTAGGAAGCCTAGATATCTCAGGCTTAGGCATGGCTGAGGAGAGCATAAAACGCCCATGACCTAAATGGTAAGTGTGCAGATTCATGAAGAGAGGTTTATCTTGGGTAAACCTAATTTATGCACGAAGGCCCAAGGACTAGTTGCTACTATAAATAACAGAAGGAGCAATCCTAATAAGTGGTCCGGAAAGTAATTTAAGAGAGTGTGTATTGAGTGTCCTTGTGAGTGAAGAAGTTATATTCTTCACGTTTGTATTGTGCCTTAGGAATACTTGTAAGCCAAGCAATTGGCTGCTGTAGGATTGCCTTGGTTTAGTATTATTAAGTTGTTTAGTGTGTCACTCGAAGCTTTTAACCAAGAGTGTTGTGTCTCTTGATCCAAGTTGTGAAGCAAGATCAAGGTGTGTTTGAAGTGTGTCTTCATATCTCAATTGTAATTTTGTATTGATATCACTGTGGTGATTGAGGGGGAGTAAGTGGGAAACTCTGGTCTAGTATTAGGCTGAAGTGTCATTGGGTAGGTCTTAAGTGAAGAGTGCAAACAGGTTTTTTGACTCTGAATTAATTCTACTGATAGTGAATTTCCTCCCTGGCTTGGTAGCCCCTAGATGTAGGTATGGTTGACACTGAACTGGGTGAACAATTACTTGTGTCATTTACTGCTTTCCATTTACTGCTTATTATTAAGTCCAGTAGTCTGTGTTACAGTGGATGTCATAACATCCGTGATAACATCCACTGTTGGGTAGCCAGAATTTCAATTGGTATCAGAGCAGGCACCCTGCCTGTTATTTCTGGGTGAGATCTAGGGAAGATAAATTCTGGTACTATGGACAAGGATATAGGATTCACAAATAGACCACCAATTCTAGATGGATCCAATTATGACTACTGGAAACCTAGGATGATAGCCTTCTTAAAGTGTTTAGACAACAAGGCATGGAGAGCTGCAAATTCAGGATGGGAACATCCATAGAAGACTGATAAAGATGGAATATTTGTGTTAATTCCTGAAGAGGAATGGAACAAAGAGTAAGAGGCCTTGGCTCTTGGAAATTCTAAGGCTTTGAATGCCTTATTTAATGGAATTGACAAGAATATTTTCAGACTGGTACATCATTGTGAACTGGCCAAAGAGGTTTGGGATACACTTAAAACAACCCATGAAGGAACCTCTAAAGTCAAGATGTCAAGATTACAAATGCTAACCATCAAGTTTGAAAATCTGAGAATGAATGAGGAGGAGACTATTCATGAATTCTACGTGAATATCCTTGAAATTGCCAATACCTCAGGAGCTTTGGGAGAAAAGATGTTTGAAGAGAAGCTTGTGAGGAAGATTCTCAGATCTTTGCCTAAAAGGTTTGCCATGAAAGTCGCTGCCATTGAAGAAGCTCAAGACATATGCAATATGAAGGTGGATGAACTCATTGGTTCTCTCCAAATCTTTGAGATGGGAATGAGTGATCAAGCTGTGGAGAAAAAGAACAAAAGCATAGCTCTTGCTTCAAACACTGCAGATGACTCAGAGGAAGACAATAAGGAAAATTTGTCAGAAGCAGTTGCCTTGCTTGGAAGATGATTTAACAAACTGATCAAAAGAATAGACCATAAGTCTAAGCCTTATGTCAAGAATAGCTCCTCTGACATCAGCAGAAGGGGTAACTCTGAAGAGAAACCTTACCAGGGCAGAGGGGTCCAATGACATGAATGTGAAGGATATGGACATATTAGAACTGAATGTCCCACCTATCTAAAGAAACAGAAGAAATGCCTAAATGTCACATGGTCTGATGGTGACTCAGAAAGTGGATCAGAAGAAGAGTCTGCCAAACATGTTAATAATTTGACCAGTGTATGCATATCTGATGATGACTCAAGTGAAGATGAGCTAATTGTTGAGGAACTTGTAGCTTCATATAAGAAGCTTTGCATCAGAAGTGGAGAATTATATCAACAATGAGAGCAACACAAGAAACTCATAAGGGAGTTAGAGGTTGAGAAGATGGAGCATCTTGCAACAATAGAGTCTCTCAAAAGTGAAGTGACCGGTAAATTAGCAAGTGTACTAATTGTACCGATGTAGTAATAAGGGGAAATTCCCCGAATATCGATCTCGCAGACTGCGTATGAACACAAGTTCTAAAATAATACAATTGAACAAAAAGTCATAGGGGTTTTGGTTTGTTTCTTACAATTTTAAAGGCCAAAAGGCAAAAGCAGTAAAATAAAGGTTTTAGACAGTTATGAGAAGCATGCTAGAGTAAGGTGTATGAAATAACCTTGTAACAACCTCAATCCTAAGTTTTTAGAAATATTTGCTCAATTCAATCGTGACCGGGTTTAAAGATTAGTTGACTCTAATTCCTTAACAGAAAACCCTTTGGTATTCTCCCTATACCCAAATTCCTTGGCAGTATAGGAACAATCCCAAGCAATTTACATTATCTAAAACATTACGGTTACTATAGGGTATCCTCATTCCTAGGCAATATCTACTATAGTAATATCGTATAAACGCATTAACAATTGTTTTTCCAAACCTAAGGTTAACC